GATCGAGTGATCAAAAATAATCGCTCAAATTTTACGTTTATTTCATATAAAAAAAATATATAAAATTTTTTCTGCATGGCATGACTGTGTAAGAGGAATTATTGGTATAACCGGTGTATAACATCGCAAAGTAAGTTAAGTCACGTCGTAACTTTGATGATCGTTTGGAAGTTTTATTTGTTCGTTCATTACTGTAAATGTAAACGTTGTAGAAGCTGATGGTACGAATAATGAACAATTTTTTGAAGGAGAATGTTTTTGTAGTAAACAAGATCATGGAATTCGAGAACATATTCCTGGCTGAAACGTTTCAAATGCGTTTCATTTAACCTTTTACAATTTATTTGTTTGTTTTTAATAGTCTGCAGCATTTGCATTTCGATTCGACAATTTTTCATTTTTAAATTCAAACTCTTCTAAATTGTGAAACGTAATATTTTGACTCCAATAGAAAAAATATTTGCACTGTGACTGAGCTCATTAATATCCCAAAAGAATAGTGTTTATAACACTGTATGAAGCAAATAAATATGTGCCACATTGTTTTTGAAAATATATGTTGTTTGTATGTGGGTGTAAATGTGCTTTGGTCAATCTCTATTATTATGTAAATGATATGCAAATCATATGCAAATTAGTCCGCCACAGTGGTTTAAATTCCTGGGGAGAACACTGAACTGTTATTCTCCTAATCATGAAAAACTAAACATTTCACTAATGTTCTTAAGACATTGTTGAATTAATGTTACATTCCTGTAATCTCCTATATGCATACATTACTGTCATCGCCTTATTGCTTTGAATACCCAAAACGACAACCATGCCAGAAAAGTTGCTGACTGGTTTGTATAGCGCACCTCAATGTAAAACCATAAACCTATTTCTCTTTGTTCACATGTGTCACTTGAAAATGAATAAATAAATTAAGTTCAAAGAAAGATCATTTTGATTCACACAAAAAAAATCAGTTTTCGAGAAAGTTTGATAAGTTTTTATTAATGACGTGCTGCCACAGAGAGTGCCACACGCTGTCAACGTGTAATCTTGTCCTCGGTTTATATTATGTAGCAAGCCCCAATGCACTGTTTTTCGCCCTTGCTGACATATTTACATAGTGACCAGTTCCTATAGCTGCTAGAATTTACCTGTCACACTTCGGACCATGTTTTTTTGTGGCGATATTATTGTATTTGTTCTATTAGTAACACATGCTTTACGTGAATTAGGGATTTCTCTCTATTCAGTAAATAGCCAAGTGATTTTTGTTTTATGTGTTCTCCTCCTGATGATACACTTGTAATAAAGCATATACGGTAGTTACATCTGTAAAGAATGTTTATAAATTCATCGTTATATTGCGATTGAATGAACTGAGTGCAACATGTTGTGTGCAAACTGTCCCTTTAAAAGTGGTTTTATTAATAAAAATCAGATGAACATGTGATATTTTTACTATACATTTGGTCTTAGTTTTTAAATTGCTCATATATTTACTTGATTTTCTCCCTATACCATAAATGACAAATAATAACTTGTCGAGTGTCAGTATCCACTGAAGCATTTCTGGATACTAGTAGTCAAGGAGGCATTCTGTCTAAAGCTTTGTCTTTTCTTCTAGGAATGGACATATCACCAATTGATTTGATAAACATTGAAAGCTTTACATCTAGGGTGTTGGCGTTATCAGATTACAGGAAGAAATTACACACTTATTTGAGAGAAAAGATGTCTGCTGTTGCGCCCAACCTAGCTGCACTTATAGGAGACCTGGTAGGTGTGACATGTATATATGCGATATATTTATAATCCAAAGGTGGATAAAAGATAAGGGTAACCAAGCACAGTGATATGCAAATAAGATCTCATTGATGTTGCATGCTGCAGACTTGCAGACTTTGCGTTGGTATGGAATTCTTTGTCAATTCATCTCCATGTAATGTTTTCTCTTGTCTTGTAGGTCGGAGCTCGTTTAATATCTCATGCGGGTAGTCTGACCAGCTTAGCAAAGTATCCTGCCTCCACTGTACAAATTCTTGGTGCTGAGAAAGCGCTTTTCAGGTAATCTTAGATCTAAATGTTTTCTGTCTGTCTGGGAAAAAAAAGTTACCCTTCTAACTAAACCTTTCCTGCCATCATGAAAAAAAGCAGGTGCTCCATAGAAAGTGAATTTTCGCTCAAATTATGCATGAATTTTCTCGAATAGTTTTTATAAAGTTACCTGATTTTTTTTGCTTAAAAGTAGAAGTAAAATTTATCAGTTTTTAAAAATGTAAAAATCATTTTTTTAAAAAGCGCCTGTTAAAGCTAGAATGCCATTCTGGAATGGATCTCACTTTGTTCATGGTTAGTATGTCCTTCCAGCGTCAGAGTGATTGTGGGTTTGATCTCTGCAGATAAAAAATTTTAGAATCTCGTTGTTTTGTTTATTTTACAGGGCATTAAAGACTAAAGGGAACACACCAAAATATGGTTTATTGTTCCACTCGACCTTCATTGGTAGAGCCGAAGCAAAGAATAAAGGCAGAATATCGCGATTTTTGGCAAATAAGTGTTCTATTGCATCCAGGATAGACTGCTTTTCTGGTAAGTCACTCATTATTCCGAGGTCCAAGTGCATTAGTACTCGTACTGGTGTCAACCACTTCCTAAATAACTCGTACACAGTTGCGTTAGGGTAACCAGTTTATTCAAGATAGTGGTGAAAACTATAACAGGATAAAGAAATCGCATTTCAAATGACGTCGTCGCTGACTGAACAAACGAACGAGCGTGCGTGAACGACTTACAGAAAATGCTAGGAAATTGCAAAAATTACGACACACGGCGCTAAGGTGGTCTGATCAACTCACCAGTCAATAAATTCAGAAAATAACTTACTTCGCTGAGTCTAGTGTTCTTCTAGAAGAACTTTATGTAGCGATCTTCAGTCGTACAAAACGCGTTTACCGTACGCATATGAGACTCTAGCCCATAATAGTTATAACGAACTCTGATCTGCACTGAACGTAACGTCTGTGCCTAAAGAGGGCGGTATACTGTTAAAAATGAAAGGGTTTCCAGCACACTCATTGAAGAGTTTTACAGATCTGATTGACATGCATGAATTGGTTTCAGTTATAGTATCTGTTCTTGCACTTTTGTGATGTGCAATGTGGAATATGTTCCTAGCTTTCACACTATTAAGTCATGCACTATATTCTCACACTCTGTTAAAAAATCTGAATGTATATCTGTTCCTGTATTTAAACTCCAGCTCTGCAATCCCCGGGATTTTCACCATTGCATCATAAGAAATAGAATTTGAATCGCTCACCCATTGTACAATACGTTTACAAACACTATTGTCTGCCTTCAGAGGACGTATTTTCACTGATAGTTTGAAATTAACACTTTGATTTGAATAATTTTATGAAAACGTTAATTTAAACATGCCTTCTCTTTAATTATTCGACCAGAATTATGCTTACATAATTCTAGAAAACTAAAATCAAATTTGTATTCTATAACTATTCATGATTGTATATAACAGAAAATACATATTTTGTGCCATTTTGTAGAGTACTTTGACTGGATGAGTCATGAGTGCAATTTGCATTCCCACTTTTCATCACAAATTAACAAAATAGTCATGTTTATAGTGTGCACTTTTCTTGAGAAGATTGGAACAAAAATAGCCAAGTTTTTTTGTAAAAGCTAAATATTGACTCAAATCCTTTTATGCACCCTGAGCAGTGAAAGATATCCATAGATCAGTGTTTTTAGTGTCGGGGTTCTCCACGAGGGGTTTCAACAGGGCGCCGCGCCCTGTTATCTGAAATTGGCCCCCTGTTTAAATTGTCAGCGCCCTGTTATTTTCCCTGTGCGCCCTGCATGGTTCCAGACAAAGAATTGTTTATAAAACAGACCATCACTCATTGTCTTCCGAAGATGATTCATCGTGCTAAGGATACATTGTAATTGGTTCATTGTTTTAAGGTGCAACTGTGAAAATTCCGACTTGTTATTGTAGCAGGTCACCTTGAGGTGATAATGGTACCAAACAAAAAGTTGCAAGTTTTTTAACACGATTAAAATTAAACAGTGGACTAGCAGTGTTCTCCACAATCCAAATTAGCTGGTGGGCGGCCTAATTAGCATAAATTTGCATATGAATTTGCATATCATTTACATACAACATTCTTGCATTTATGACATGAACTACAATACACACTAAGTTATTTACTATTCTCTTTTTAATTTAATTTAATTGGAACATGTTACAATTTTTTGAAATACAAACAGATTGGTCACTATCAATATTTGCGAAATGCAAAAAGTTTGAAATCGATGATTTATGCGTTCGCAAATTATTCTGCATTCATGAAATGCAATTCGAGTAACCAAGAGCAAGTACAAAACATAATTGAGTTATAATGTAGAAAATATACGAGATGATTTGCCCACGAAGCCAAAACGAACAATTTGTTAAAACAAAATCCATAACATTTTTATTTGTGGCATCAGTACTCACCCGTGCCGACTGACGGTAAGATGCATTTACACATGTACGGCCACGATACGTTGCGTTTTCACACATTGTTTTGGAATTCAAGAAAAAAATGCTAGCAATCGGCAAAATAAAAGAATCTGATATGTTCTCGAAAGATTAGACATAAAAAATAGATAAATTGAAAAAAGTACGTGGAAAAGATAACTAAAATATTATTCAATTACAAATACTCGCGGTAAACTAATCCAGCAGCCATGTTTGATGTTTATTACCGCTTTCCGAATTCAGTACACGAACACCCAGAATGCGCTGTTCCCCTATGCAACTTAGATACTAAATTGTTACAGCGCCAACAGCGATGGGTAGCAGACGGTCGTTGAATGGGGTAGGCCAAAGGTCATCAGTTTGCCTTCTCATGCTGTTTCACAATGAAATCGAGCGACGTTGTAAATATGGCTAGAATTTAAATTTT